AATTTGCCGCGATCGCGTGCAATTTTTGCCAAAGTGCGAAATCTCGTCAATAATAATTAGCAAATCGATTGCGTTTAATGACCTCACATAGTACCAGCCCCACCAATGCAAAAACAAAGCAAAGCAACAACAGCTGCAGTTAATCACCTTAAAGCTTGCTGAGTGAACTAATCGCTGGCATTTAAGCGCTTCAAAATTCATTATTGCAATGCACCGATTTCGCACGTGAAGCGTGAAGCTTTAATTGCAACAATGCTGCAGAGCAAAAACAACAACTAGGCGCATATTACCAATTACAATGCACTGCTTTATGGTTAATAAATAGATTGGCTTTGGTGGCTAATGCGCGCCATCAGCGGCGCAGAAAATGATGAAAATTGAATTGTGCGCTTTCGAAAATTCGCACAATCAATTCGGTAATGTTACGTAATAGTTACTTGAAGTGGCAATGCAACCCTCTACACAAATTAAACGAATAGCAAAAACAACAACAATAACATTTAAATGCATTAGAGATAGCAACGCAGCTCAAAGTACAAAAGACTTAAGCAGCGAACTCGTTGGTGGCCGCTGCTGACTTCTGAGTGCATTTGCATAATTTTCCGCAAGCTTAACGAAATTCAAAAACACCGCACAAGAGAATTCAACTTGTGACAACACAAATATATATATATATAATATAGTCTTATAGACTATAAGGAAACATATGCGAGTGAATAAATTAGTTAACATTAACTCATCTGCGCGCAGGCGAAGAAGACACGTAATCAAAGTTGTACAACAACCTAATGGAGCTTTCAAAAGCTCGCTGGCATATTTTTTTACGCAAATTTACATGTCCATTGTGCCCGTTTACCAAAGAAAATTGACTATAAATGTGATATACTGCAGACGTCTTCAGCTGTTCGTGGCGGCAACGACACGCATGCGCACAACAACAACAAATTATGTGTTGTTTTGCGCTGAAAATGGTATCTAATGACTTGCAGCTGCGCAGAAAAGCATCTTTTGCTAAAAAGTAAACAAACGCACAGCAAGAAATAATATTTTTAACAGAAGCTCGAAGTGGCGGAGTTGCCGTGAAGAGTAGGGAAGATGCAGTTGCGTGCAAAATGTGGTTGCATAAGTAACTGTCGTTGTAAGTTGCATAAAAGAAGGATGTGCACACGTTTTGATACCCACTAAAAATGAAAAATAGCTCATTGGTTTTTATATATGCATATATAGACGAAAAAGTCTTTTCGTATTTTGCTAATAAATGTCGTATATCTCAGTAGTATTGAAAAGTAGTATTGAAGAGATGAGATTTTAAGCTTCATTTAACAAAAAAAAAATTATATTCGGAAAAATTTAAAAAAAGTTACAGCTGTTCAAAAATGAGTGAAAATAATGCAGAAATTTGCCATATTTTGAAATTTTTCTATAAAAAAGGGAAGAATGCCACGCAAGCCACCAATGAAATTTGTGTGTTCGTGTAGCACAACAATGGTTCGCTCGCTTCCGTTTTGGAAATTTTTATATGAAAGATTCACCTCGCTCTGGTCGATGAAATTATGGAAAAGATCGATCCAGATCGTCACATAAGCAGCCATGATATCGCTAAGGCACTTAACCAAACGAGTTTGAACCGTTTAAAAAAGGCTGGCTACAAAAAGATGCTCGATATTTCGGTACCACATGAATTGTCTGTGAAAAGTTTAATGAACCGAATTAACATCTGCTATTCTTTGCTGAAACGAAATGAAATCGAACCATTTCTGAAGCAAATGGTAACAGGAGACGAAAAGTGGATCAGATAAGAGGATAATGTGTGAAAGATTTATGGTCCAAGCGTGGTCAAGCTCAAAAAATGGTCGCAAAGCCAGGACTGACGCCTTGAAAGGTTATGCTGAGTGTTTGGTGGGATTGAAAAGGTATCAACCACAATGAGCTGCTCCAGCCTGGCCGAACCATTGTTTCTACTTTTTGCGACACTATTTTTGATGACTCGGTAGAAACTGGGAGAGTTTGGCTGGAAAGTTTTGATGCATCCACCATATAGCCCTGACTTCGCACCATCGGACTACCATTTGTTTCGGTCAATGCAGAACTCTCTTAATGGAGTAAAGTTGGCTTCAAGAGAGGCCTGTGAAAATTACTTGCCGCAGTTTTTCGCCGAGAAACCAGAAAAGTTTTACAATGATGGATTAATGTCTTTAGCGGTAAAATTTCAAAAAGGAATCCACCAAAATGGTATTAGGTCTACAATATTGCTTCCGCCGTTGTTTTATAAATTTAAGGCTTTATTGTATAAAGACGGTCCAAAAGTGTTTTTCCATTCCCTCAAAAAGTAATGCTTAATTAACACACGAAATGCTTTATCATCCATTTTTTTTGTTAAGTTAAAAATTCTATAATTTTTTAATACCTAATAGAAATCATGTAGATGGTAGTAGTAGAGTAATAGTATTAACTATGTGTGTGTCAGCTTCAGTAAAGCGTGGACGGGTCCTCAGCCGCACTTTTCTTGGAATTAAAAGAAAAGAAAAGCAAAATTTCACGCAAAGTTTGGAATGCAAACAGATCTCTACAAATATTTTGTTGGGTTAGTGTAGACACAAATGTCCAAGATCGATAAAAAACGATTTAATCGACCAGTGCTTGACCCTAGAGACATCTATTGGAATCTATTGGAAAACGGAGGAAGCAAAGTTGTAGATCATACATATTTGGTTCTTCGGTTGACTAAAGTTCAATATAAAAATAAAAAATAAGTTGAAGTTTGATGAGAAATACGAAGAGACTTTTTAGACTACCAAATATTCTGTATTCGTTTTCTTTTCAATGTGTTCTGAGTAAGTTTTTTTTTGGTAACTTATAATTTTAAATTATGTAAATTTTTCGCGATGAAAAAAAATTTTTCTGAGTAAAGTTCTTATAAAAAAATTATGTTCCTAAAAAAACTAAAATCTCAATTATTTCATGCAAATATTTGCAAAATTAAGTGTATTTTTAAATTACAATTCAAGATAATTTTAAATGTTCATAACAGATGGCAACCCTCTAACAAATAATATTTCTACTGTAAATCTCACCTCACATTTTGTTAACTTACTATTTGAAAAGTTAAATTCTTTCAGTCAGGTGGCAACGCTGTTTTGAAAAATATTCTAAAGCTCTCTCCTTGGACTTTGTGAGGTTTCGCTATTTCTTTATCCTTTTATGATTATACATTATCAGTACCAGAGAATTTCTTTACAAGGTACTTGCAAGTCCACACACATACATACATACTCATATGTAAGTTACATATTTATGTGCGATTGCCATCGTGTCTTTTTTATTGCAAAACTAACTTGTTCGCCGAAACTTGCTTGTAATTCACAACGCTGGCGCGATATCTCAAGCAAAGCCGGCTTGAAGCGACGAACGGTGTCTACAAGCCGTTCTTCAACACCACACGCTGACTTATTATCGCAATTGCATCGACAATTTCGTTGTTCTGATGCGAAAGCTGGTTGTTGTTGCTATACAAACTTGTCTTTTTACCGTTGTTGCTGTTGTTGCAGCTGATGACGGCAATTGCTGGGAAAATGAGCTAAGCGCGTAATGTATTGAATTAAGTGACGCGAGTTTTTTATTACCAGAGATGTTCCACACACACACACACATACATACACACCGTTATGGTGTCACGCTGAAGCGGGTGTGAATGCAACAAACACACCAAAACGTCTTTTGACACACATAATCGCAAGCAAAGCCACAAAGATTAACGCGGAGCCTTAGCAAATCTTCCATACACCGAAACACACATACGCAGTTTGGATGTGTCTGTGTGTGTGTGTGTGTGCAAACTCCAAAACACGGCAGATGACTTGTCGCGCGCAGCTTCAAGTGCTGTAACTGTGAAATGTGACACCGTTGCATTGTTACGAGTGCATGCCGTGTTGCAGCAGCAGTTGCAAACTGACTCTGTTGTTGTAATATACTTTATTTACGTATTTTTGTTATTTCTCGGTGGCAGCACTTTGTTGTCAGACTATTTGTTTGTTGTTGTACTGTCAGTGGGACATGACGTCACCGCTAGTTTTATTAATTGGCTTGTTACGCCTGCCAGTTCGCTGTTTCCAGCTTGTTAACATTTGCTATCATGATGCAACATGCGGCAGATCTTCTTCTCGCCATTATCAGCGATCTGCGGCGACATTCGTTATGTCAAGCGCCCCTCTGGTGCCTTTAGTCATACTAAAGGCATTCATTTCAAGCTTTCAGTAATTAAATCATGAAAAAAATAAAAAAAAAAAAAATTCAAAAAAAAAAAAAAAAAAAAAAAATAAAAAAAATAAAAAATATAAAGATACTTTCCATCTCCTTAAAATACTTTAAAAACTCTGTATCGATCTTTAAGAGATCCAAGTTTCTTACACAGAGTTTTGTACGTCATTTGTTGCTCTTATAGCTTACTCAATTTCAAGAACACCGTTAAACAGATCGATAAACAAAACAAATATCCGATTACTAATAATTTCGGTATTTCACATGCAAACAATTGTCTCGAGTAACAAATGTGAATATTCAAATTGGCGGCTATTGACAACGCTCGCCGCTGCGAAACAACAAAAACAATGCTATTGCGTGTTTATTTAAATCTCAATACTGTACGTTATCGGCAATTATGAGCGGTAAAAATACTGCGCAGCTGTCAGATCTTGAAAATACTTGTGTTTGTGGAAGTAAATACCAACTAATTACGCAGCTCGCGGGCAAAAATAACGCCGTTCGAAGAGCCGAAGCGAAGCAGACACATTTCAAGTGCACAAGGCCAGCACAGCAAAATTGATGTGAAATTCGTGTGTATGTGCGGCTGACAGGTGCGATGAAGGTATTTTTGCTTCAAATGCCAAATTTATTTATTTTTGTTTAAAAGTTTTGAATATTTTTCAATCAAGCAGCTTTTGGCTTGCGCTTTTCAGGCAATTTTTATTATTAATTATATGTTTTATTTTTATGAAATTTATTTATTATTTATTCTCTAAGGCTCGTTGGCAGAAAACCTGCTTTTTACAATGGACTTTTCAGCTAAAACTTCAAGGAAACCATTAATAAGGTAATAACAATTATGTCCGTGTTAACGAGTTAAATAAAAAATTCTTTACAACAGTCGCATATATCAATGACATTACCTCTTTAGTGCGATAATCTACAAATCCTAATTGAAAACACTGAAGTATAAAGCTACAAGGTCAGCAATTGATGTTTAAAGCAATATTTTTGTAGAATTGTTTGAAAAATGGGTAAGGTTATCGAATAGTTTGATTTGTAWMACAAAAAAAAAAAGAAGTTTTTTCAATCAGATTATTATTCCTAGCATTTGACAAATTTTGAATTCAAATTAAGGGTATGTTTTTTGTCAAACTAGTGTCTTAAAGTGAAAGTGAATGATGCCCAGATCATACTAAAATTATGGAGAAAACATTTCTCGGGCCTGATGAATGGCAGTGAAAGCACAACGCCAGGAGAAGGCGAACCCGATGCCCCAATCGACGACGATGGAGCAGACGTTCCATTGCCCGACCAAGAAGAAATTCGAATAGCAAT